TTACTCAGATATGGTAAACACGAGGAAATTAATCTTTATCCCGAGTACAAAAAAAAATTCTGGCCACAAAAAAGAGGGGAAACACCAAAGTCAAAGACCTGGGAGTGATCCCTGTCGGAGGATCTCACCTTCAAGGACCATAACCATTGTATCAATCGCATCTGCTAGAAAATGACAGGATGGATAATGAGAACCTTCAAAAAACTAGGGAGGCCAAGCCCATGATGACAAATCTTCAGGTCACTTGTTCTATCTAGGCTGGAATATTGCTGCACACTAACAGCACCTTTCAAGGCAGGTGAAATTGCTGACCTAAATGTACAGAGAACCTTCACGGCGCGCATAACGGAGATAAAACACCTCAATTACTGGGAGCGCTTGAGGTTCCTAAACCTATATTCCCTGGAACGCAGGGGGGAGAGATACATGTTTATATACACCTGGAAAATCCAGGGGACTAGTACAAATTTTGCACACAAAAATATCACCAAAGCAAAAGATTTGTCGGGGACATGCAAATCCCCCAAATAAAAAAGCGGGGTGCCCTCCATAAGAACCATACAAAATGTGGGGCCCCCGGGGGATGTTAAATGCCTCCCAGTACAAAAGGGGGATTACCAACAGCCCCCTGGCAGTCTTAAAAGCGGCAGTGGACAAGACCTAAAGTGGGTTTCCCTGACCCAGCCAGGCTGTGGTTGTACTTTTGGTTTGGTGCAGCCAGCAGCAACAGCCGGGTTTGATCAGGCTCTGACCCAGGAGGCCTGTCACAGACCAGGCCCCTGGGGCATTGACCCCCCCCCAACTCTTCCCAAAAAAACTCCAGGTAATGTACTATCAGATTCAATTGAAAAGAGAAAAGGCACAATACCAAGACTGCAACAGTACACAAATAAGCTGCACATACCACACAGAAACTTGTGACAACATAAACCATACCCCGGCCGGGATTGAACCCGTGGTCATAGAGTCTCAAAACTCCAGCCCGCGGTTCAATCCCGGCCGGGGGTATGGTTTATTTGCAATCGTGTCATTACGATTTCTTGAGTCTTGTGACAACATTTCAGGTTGACTTGGAACATTAACTAGTCACACAGATGCTTGCATATTACTATTTTGTTTCAGAATTTTTAATAAATATTTTAACAAAACTGCAGTTCTAATTTCTATATCTAAATCATGTTGGTTCTTTTTTTCTTTTTATTTGTAAGCTGCTTTGTTCTCTGTATAATGACCTTAATATACATTTTACTTCTGGCTTTTCTTATAGTTTTAAAATAACTTTGCATGTTATCTTTACATGTCAGGTTGCTCAAATGCTATCAGAGCATGAATGGATATCAGAGGATCGTAAATTCTTTGGTCAGCCCAACACTGGTTATGATTTTGCTGCAAATGATCCTGTGGAAGCTGGACGCAAGATCTCCAAGCTGGAAGAGCTCAAAGCCAAACTATCCAAAAATGTTAACATGCGAGCCATGAACATGTTGGGAAAAGCTGAAGAACAGGTAATGTTTCTTATATACTGTACATTTTTTTTTTTCAACACATCGACTGTGTCCCACTGAGACAGGGTGACCCAAAAAAGAAATGCTTTCACCATCATTCACACATAATCACTATCTTTGCAGAGGTGCCCAGATATGACAGTTCAGTCATTCCAAACAGTCAGTATTCCAAAATCTTCCTTTTAAAGTGTAGGTACTGTACTTCCCACCTCCAGGACTCAAGTCCGGCTAACCAGTTTTCCTAAATCCCTTCACAAAATATTATCCTGCTCACTGTACATACAACCACCAAAAATCCTGAACAATAGGAGATTAAGCTTTAGAATAAATAAAACTCCAGCTTAGAAAAAATCTATGAAAGGGGAAGGAATAGTATTACATTTACTAGTGCCTAGTTTTTGTCCTCTTTCAAATACACATTTTTAGATACAGTGGACCCCCGGTTAACGATATTTTTTTACTCCAGAATATGTTCAGGTAAATACTGACCGAATTTTTTCCCCAAAGAAATATTGTGAAGTAGATTAGTCCATTTCAGCCCCCAAAACTCACATCAAACGCACTTACATAAATACATTACATAATTGGTTCACATTCGGAGGAATCGTTATGCGGGGGTCCACTGTATATACATTGAGGTTGAAAAGCAGGCATAGAATTTTTTTTTTTTTTTTTTTCAACAAGTGGCCGTCTCCCACCGAGGCAGGTGTGTACCAAAAAAAAGAGAAGAAATCCCCAAAGAAATACTTTCTCATCATTCAACATTTCACCAACTCGCAATTTATCACTGTTTTGCAGAGTGTGCTTCAGAACCAAACAGTCTAGAAGCATTACATTAAAGATACACAACATTATCCCGTCCAAACTGCCAATAGAATTATGTTTGTAAAATGTATGTAAATGGGTTAGAAAAGCAACAAGTTGAAGAATTAGACACTTGTAACATTTGGGAATCTTTATAGTGGAAAGATTTTGCCAACAAGCGACTTCCTCAGTCCAGTAGAGATGAATGGTGGAAGAGGAAAAGGAGATTGAAGTTATTAGTCCCTCAGCCTGGAGTCAATGTGTTCAGTCCATCAATCATGAGAAAAGTAGTACTTTTCAATCAATCATGATTGAAAAGTTAATGTTTTCAGTCTATCAATCTCATGATTGATGGACTGGAAACATTGATTCCAGGCTGAGGGACTGATTTCCTCAAACTCCTCGTCTTCCACCAGACTGAGAAAGCCACTTGTTAATGAAATGTTTGCACAATAAAGATTCCGCAATGTTGCAAAAGTGTTTAATTCTTCATCATGTTTGTAAATAGTTATAAGTGCATACATAAAGTATATTACTGTATAAGCAAGAGTGGTTACTGATCAAGATCTCTGTTGTATCATTGCATCGTCTGCATGTTTAATTTTTCTTGTGTGATGATTACTCTGTACCTGAAGCAACACTGTCTGGCTCAAAACTGATATACAGTGGTACCCCAAGTTTCGTACAGCTCCCAATTCGAACAGTTATGTAAGTATATTATTGTAAGTGCTTTTGTAAGTGTATTTTTGGGGGTCTGAAACGGACTAATCTAATTTACATTATTTCTTATGGGAACAAATTTGTTCGGTAACGGCACTCAGAATAAATAAATAACAAAAAGGCACAATACCGTGACTGGAACAATACACAAATAACCGAAACTCGGGGTACCACTGTATTCAGTCATTTTGTATTACATACCTTATTAAGCTCCAATGTTTGCTAATGTTATGAAGAGATTATCAGTGAAGAACAAAAAGGCACAACACCGTGACTGGAATACACAAATAACCTGCATAAAGGAGACAGAAATACATGACGTTTCGGTCCAACAGGTCTAGTTAATGATCGAAGTTGGACCAAAACATCATAAGTTTCTTTCTCCTATGTGCAAGTTATTTGTGTAGATTATTAGTGGTATACATTAGATTGCCTTATATTGTCTGGAACTACTAGTAGTCAGTAAATTAAACTACAGTAATAGTACCACTGATAGTAGTGTTGTTCCAACAGATAAACTATTAATAACACTTATCATCATTTCAAGAGTGTATCAGTCTGTAGTGGAGGAAGGCGGGGTAGGGGTCGGCCTAGGAAAGGTTGGAGGGAGGGGGTAAAGGAGGTTTTGTGTGCGAGGGGCTTGGACTTCCAGCAGGCATGTGTGAGCGTGTTTGATAGGAGTGAATGGAGACAAATGGTTTTTAATACTTGATGTGCTGTTGGAGTGTGAGCAAAGTAACATTTATGAAGGG